TGCTGTGATTGCACAAGCTCCTGTATTCAGGTTTATTTACTGTTTGTTCAAGGCTTCCCGCGGACAAGCCCGTCTGGGGCTTCCCTGGTAGCTCAGACAGTGAATGATCCGCCTGACAATGCAGGAGACCCAGGTTTGATCCCTGGGTCGGGAAGATTCCCCTGGAGAAGGAAATGGCAACCCATTCCAGTGTTCTTGCCTGGAGAATCCCATGGACAGAGGAGCCTGGAGGGCTGCAGTCCGTGGGGTCGCAGAGTCGGACGCAACTGACTAACACTTACCTGCTATGATTGTGTAAACCCCGGTATTCGGGTTTCGTTCACTCTCTATGTATGAAGATTTTATGAGCTCTTATTCTGTGTGATTGTAGTACATTTTCCTGCCTTAACATTGGGTGCACTCTTATTCTATTGAGCTATTATAAACTCTCATCCCATTTAGATTGCATTCAGGTTTTTTCTATTCATATTTTATCAGCTATCCTCGAACGAAGGTTGTATTCAGCCATATTCTATTAAGATGGTATCCGCTCTTAGTCTGCTAATGTCGTATCAACTCTTATTCCGTAAGACTGTTTTACGTTTTATTCTCTGAAAGCTGGGGGCGCTCTCCTTCAGTCGAGATTTTTATCAATGGTCCTATTGAGGTTGTGTTACATTTTATCCAACTAACACGGCATTGGCTTTCCACTGAGGTTGTATTAACTCTTATTATAGGAAAGTTGCAATCCCTCTTGTCCGAGTGAGATGTTTTGAACTCAATCTACTAAGGTTGTATTCAGATGTTATTCTATTGAGTTTTTAAATTATTTTTATTTATTTATTCATTAGTCTCCACCAGCTCTTAGTCGTGGCATGTGGGATCTAGCTCCCCGACCAGGGGTTGAACCCAGGGCCCCTCCGTTGGGAACACAGAGTCTCAGTCACTGGGCCCCCAGGGACGTCCTTCTATTGAGTTTTATTCAGTCTCTCATTTTACTCACGTTGTATTTACTTTTATTCTCTTCACACTGGATTCACTCTTGTTCTATTGAAATATTTAAAGTTAATTTTACAGTAGAGTAGCTTTACAATGTTGTGTTAGTTTTTCCTGGACAGCAAAGGGAATCAGCTGTCGTTTATACATAGATCCCCTCTTTTTTTGGATTTCCTTCCAATGTAGGTCGCCACAAAGCCCAGAGTTCCCTGAGCTGTACAGTCGGGTCTCATTAGGCATCTGTTTTATACACACGATCAACAGTGCATAAGTCTCAATCCCAGTCTCCCAACCCACCCGAGATTTTATTAAGTCTGTTGTTCTGCTCAAATTCTATTAAGTTTTATTCTCAACATTGGATTCACCTTTTGTTCTATTGAGATGCTATTTATGAATACTCAGTTTATATTGTTTTATCCCAGTAAGATGGCATGCACCCTTGTTTCACTAGCACAAAGTGTTAGTCACTCAGTCGTGTCTGACTCTCTGTGACCCCACGGACTGCAGCCCACCAGGCTCCTCTGTCCGTGGGATTCTCCAGGCAAGGATGCTGGAGTGGGTTGCCATTTCCTCCTCCAGGGGATCTACCCGACCCAGGGATGGAACCTGGACATCCTGCGCTGCAGGCAGATTCTTCACCAAATGAGCCGCCAGGGAAGTCCCTACAAATGTCATTCTGAGACGCCCCTCCATGAGGGGCAACACATCCCTAGAAGGGCCCCAGGCCCCGATGGCCAAGCTTCTGCCCGTGGACACGCCCAGAGTCCCAGCACACTCTCGCGACCCCCGGAGGAGACCCCATCCTCACTCAGCACTGAGTCCCCGTCGTCCTCCTCACCTCCCGGCAACAGAGCCCCAGCCGATGGAGCCTCTTCCTACCTGGGAGACCATGAAGCCGCTGGCATATTCTTTCAGGAGACGATAGCCCTCACCCCCCTGCGAACACATCTTCCTTCCCGGCCGGTCTGGCTTGGAGGGACCTCGGCTCTCTCAGCTTTGGGCTTCACCAGTCCGTGAGCAGCCCGGGCGGATGGCCAGGGCGTCACTGCTGACCCCGCAAGCTGGACGCCGGGGAGCGAGCCCAAGACGGGTCATTCAAGGAGATTCTGTCACCCTGGTGACGGGGATGAGAGCTTACGGGGGACCCCTGGGGCTTTTGTTCACTCCTTCTGTCTCTCATGAGCACACAGCCCGAAAATCACCTGTCACCCCTAGCCCCCATCCCACGCTTGTACCATCAGCGGTGCAACTGGTCCCAAACCCGCGTGCCCACTAATCACTAGGGATGATGACTCACTCTCTGGGCCCTTCATATGGGGTGTGTGTGTGGGGAGGCATTTATTAATTGTCTTGGGTGCAGCTGTAACAAATGACCACAGACTGGGATTAAAACCACAAACATCCATCCTCCCTGAGTCCCAGGGACCAGACATCTGTGGTCAGGGTGTCCCAGGGCTGGGCTCCCTGCAGAGGCTCCAGGGGAGGGTCCTTCCCACCTCTTCCAGCTTCTGGGGGCTCCAGGCATCTGTCCCTGGGCTGGTGGCCGCCTCCCTCCCGTCTCTGCCTCCTTCTGTGTCTTATGAGGACCCTGTCCCTGGGTTTAGGGCCACCCCCATCCAGGAGGGCCTCATCTCAGACCCTCCAGTCCATCACGTCTGCAGAGAACTTTTGTCCAAACAAGGTCAGGTTCTCGGGTTCTGGGGGTGAGGACGTGAGCTGTTTGGGCAGCCGTGATTCAGCCTCATACACCGGTGTGGGCAATGCATCCCCCTCTGTCGGGGTGACCAGTTACTTCCAGCAGCGGCATTTCAATCGCCAGGGACCGTGGCGAGCCTCGCTGCTGCCGGAGGAAGCGCAGAACCTGCCCTGAGCTGGTGTCCAGCCGTGGGCCGCCCCAGCCGCGCTGGGCATACCCTCTCTCCTTCCCAGCCATCCCTGACGCTCAGCTTCATAGACTCAGAGCCCAGATGGGCGCTTCCGCTTCCACCCCCACCCCCCACTGCAGGGGCTCCCTGCCCTCTTCCACCCTGAACCCCGGCAAGCAGGACCTCGGTGTCCGCTGACCACGCCGTACCTCATGCCCTTTTTCTGGGGACGCCCTGCTGCATTAGGGGCTGGGGAAAGCTCCAACTATGAACCAACGCTCTGTCTCAGAGAGGTCCTCTTTGCTTCGTGGCTGGGCAGGCCAGGGTTCCAATAAAGTTTTATTGACCAAAAAAAAAAAAAAGGTGGTGGAACAGATACCAATAAAGCTTTATAGACCAGACATGTGTTGGAACAAGGTTCCAATAAAGCTTTATTGACAAAAAAGGGTGGTGGAACAGGGTTTCAATAAAGGTTTATTGACCAAAAAAGGTGGTGGAACAGACACCAATAAAGCTTTATTGACAAAAAAGGTGCTGGAACAGATACCAATAAAGCTTTATTGACCAGACATGTGTTGGAACAAGATTCCAATAAAGGTTTATTGACAAAACAGGTGGTAGACAGGGTTCCAATAAAGGTTTATTGGCAGAAAGCCTAAGGGGAAGGTGGTGGCGGGGGACCCTCGGGAGGGACCCACAGGAGCACAGAGCGCCTGGCCCACCGAGTGCATTTGCTTGATTAAACCGCCAGCAGCCCTTTCTCAGCCAGATCCCCTGAGGCTGTGGAATCAATCCCGGGTCTTCACTTAAGGCGATTAGTTTAGTGATGAGATGGAGGGTTGAAGAGGATCAGCTCCGCCCTGAGACTGAACCTGAAATTCAAGGTCAGACCTTGGATTCACTCTTCCAGGAGCAGAAAGTGTTAAGCGACCAGGGTTTCTTCGCTTCCTTAATCAACAGAAACTCATCAGGGAGGACACAGGACGAGATGGCTGGATGGCATCACCGACTCGATGGACATGAGTTTGAGCAAGCTCCGGGAGCTGGTGATGGACAGGGAGGCCTGGCCTGCTGCGGTCCATGGGGTTGCAGGGAGTCAGACACGACTGAGCGACTGAACTGAACTGGACAGATCAGAGGCCAGACAAGTAATTCTGCAAAGAACTGACTGTTTGGAAAAGACCCTGATGCTGGGAAAGATTGAAGGCAGGAGGAGAAGGGGATGACAGAGGATGAGATGACAGAGGACGAGATGGCTGGATGGCATCACCGACTCGATGGACATGAGTTTGAGCAAGCTCCGGGAGCTGGTGATGGACAGGGAGGCCTGGCGTGCTGCGGTCCGTGGGGTCACAGAGAGTCGGACACGACTGAGCGGCTGAACAACAACGAAGGAAGGATGGGGGTCGGATGCATGGACTCACAGCCTCTGGCTATTTGACCATCAGCACATCTCGTTGTCCAGATGAATGGTCACCCTCCTGGTGGCCACAGTCTCTGACCTCAGGACCCACGATGGGACTCGAAGGAACAGGATGTTAATCTGCCCGAATCCTCAACCTTGACGGCTAGTGCGGGTTGCCGGGAGAGGGGCCATTCAGAGACCTGCCCCTGGGCCAGCTTGGATCCCCTGAATCCGGAAATCAGGTTTTTGGCTTTTAAAACACTCCAGGTCTGATGTGTAAAAATCAGAGATTCAACATGAGCTAGTCACTGGGTGGCTTGGTCAATAAAGTGTCCACTTTATCCTGTCAGTGCAGGAGACCCAAGTTTGATCCCTGGGTCGGGAAGATCCCCTGGAGAAGGAAATGGCAACCGACTCCAGCATCCTTGCCTGGAGAATCCCACGGACAGAGGAGTCAGGCCGGTGACATTCCATGGGGTCACAGAGAGTCAAATGTGACTTACTGACTAAACCACCAGTCATTACATGAGAAATGGTTAGATCAATTCCAAAATGCACATTAAAAGAAAAAATTTTTTTTCAGGCACTTCACTGGAAGTGCAGTTTCCACTACAGGGGGCACAGGTTGACTCCCTGGTCGGGGAATTAAGAACCCACTTACTGCAGGTGGCCACAACATAGAAAAAATAAAAATAAAACAAAAACATCTAACATCTCTGAAACTGGGATGTTGCTCTGGGTTGAAGACTGTTCCCCTAAAATTCCTGGGTCTCTGCAGACGTGATGGAGTGAAGGGTCAGAGATGAGGTCCTCCTGGATGGGGGTGGCCCTAAACCCAAGGACAGAATCCTTATAAGACACAGGAGAGACAGGGACACAGAGGAGAAGCCGCGTGGAGTCGCAGGCAGAGACTGGAGGGAGGCGGCCACCAGCCCAGGGACAGACGCCTGGAGCCCCCAGAAGCTGGAAGAGGCGGGGAGGACCCTCCCCTGGAGCCTCTGGATGGAGCTCAGCCCTGGGACCCCTTGACCGCAGACGTCCGGTCTCCTTTTTGCAAAAGTGCCCTCAGTTCCTGGGTTAACTTTGAAGAAACTCCACATTCATACTTCCTACTGGAGGGGCCCTGCAGGGAATCAACGTGTGGATTTTTAAGTAACATTTATTTGTTTGACTGCACTGGGTCTTAGTTGTGGCCTGTGGACTCTTCGATCTTAGGGGGAGCATGAGTGTTTCTTAGTTTCCCCAGTGGCTCAGCTACTGAAAAAAAAAAAAGTCTGCCTGCAATGCCGGAGACCAGGAGACGAGGTTCGATCCCCGGATTAGGAAGATCCCCTGGAGGAGGAAACGGCAACCCACTGCAGTACGTGTGTTAGTCCCTCAGTCACGTCCGACTCTGAACCCGGGTCTCCTGCGTGGCAGGCAGATTCTTCACCATCTCAGCTACAGGGAAACATCCCGTGGACAGAGGAGCCTGGGGGGCTGCAGGGCCTGGGGTCACGAAAGAGCCGGACACGCCTGGGCAGAATCACGCACGACGAGTGTTTCCTATTTAAGCCCCCAGCTCGTGGCCATTTGTCACACGCACCCCAGAAAACCCCTACGGATTTCTTACTGAAGGAGGGAACAGACAGAAGAGGTGCCACCTTGAGAGCAGGACTCCTTCTCGGGCCGGACTGTGGACTTTGAGCTCCATGCCCAATACCCATGGAAACGGCATACCAACTGGAAAACCAGGGCCCCCCCCACCGATGGAAGAGCCCCAGGATTTGTACCTAGACTCTCCGTCGCCTCAAAGAAGACCCTAATTATCTGTGTGAGTGCATAGAATCACACATTCTATTCTGCTTGTTGGGGTATGACCACAGGCCGACTGATAATTGCCCACTGTTAACCACCTAGGCTTAAGGCACTCGAATCACGGGTTAGCTTTGATTGCATCTTTCTTTTCCTTTGTTCAGACTGCTTTCAGGGAATCTGGGGAGGTGGGTTTGGGCAGGTACACTTAGGGTATATAAGGCTTTCACAAAAACTGGTCGGGGTCCTTGGCTACGAGGAGACTCTGCCTTGGGCCCGCCCATGTAATGAACTGCACTGCACGATCTGCATGGTCTGTCTCAGTGAGCGTGTTTTCCTGGAACGCGTGGCTACATTACGAGTAACCGGAGGTCACAGAGCGCTGGGGGACTGGTGGATGGCGGGGTTCATCTCTCAGAGGGGGAACCCGCAACTCTTGTGTCTTGCAGCCGGGGTCTGAGGCTAAGGAGGTGCTGAGCGGGCGTGAGGAAGATGGTATCGTCTGATCCTGGGGTGGGGGGGACGTGGGGGGGACATGGGGGGCGCGAGGGTGGGGGCCACACCATCCTGTCTTTTCCCCTTGGCCCGAGAGGGCGGGGCTGCCTGATGTCTGGGGATCACAAGAAGACTCTTGAGAGTCCCTTGTGATCATGGGGTCGCAAAGAGCGAGTGAGCAACAATGAAAATGCACATACCGTATAACTGTTTTAAGTGAACTGGCAGGATCTCAGGCCTTTCACAGTGCTGGGTAGACATCACGTCTATCACATCACATCACTGCAAGGAGATCCAACCAGTCCATCCAAAAGGAAATGAGTCCTAAATGTTCATTGGAAAGACTGATGCTGAAGCTGAAACTCCAATCCTTTGCCCACCTGATGTGAAGAACCGACTCATTGGAAAAGACCTCGATGCTGAGAAAGACTGAAGGCGGGTGGAGAAGGGGACGACAGAGGATGAGATGGTTGGATGGCATCACCGACTCGATGGACGTTGAGTCTGAGTAAACTCCGGGAGTTGGTGATGGACAGGGAGGCCTGGCGTGCTGCGGTTCATGGGGTCGCAAAGAGCGAGTGAGCAACAATGAAAATGCACATACCGTATAACTGTTTTAAGTGAACTGGCAGGATCTCAGGCCTTTCACAGTGCTGGGTAGACATCACGTCTATCACATCACATTCCCAACCCCACCAAGGAGACCCTGTCCCCATCAAAAGTCACTCCTCATCCTCTTCCTCCCGTCCTTGGCACCACGAACCCACTTCCTGTCGCTGTGGATTTGCCTGTTCTGGACGTTTCCTGTCGATGGAGCCACACTAGTGTGTGACTTCTGCGTCTGCCTGTCTCACTAGGCATCATGTGTTCAGGGTTCACCCACATTGTAGCGTGTGTCAGAGCTTCACTCCTTTCCTTGGCTGCATCATATTCCACTGTGTGCATGGACCCCATGCTGTTTATCCATCTGTCCACCCAGCCACTTATCCCCCCATCCACCTATCCATCAACCCAGCCATCCATCCATCAACCCAGCCATCCATCCATTTATCAACTCACCCAGCCATCCACCCACCCACCTATCCATCCATCCACCTACTTTTCCGTGCATCCACCCATTTATGTCCATCCACCCACCTACTTATCCATCCATCCACCCACCCAACTATCCGTCCATCCATGCACCTGGGTGATTTCCGCACTTATGGCCGTTGTAAACATCGCTGTTACGAAAATTGCTGTCCACGTCTTTCCCAGACAACTCTTTTCATGCCTTTCGGGTGTATGTGTAGCAGTGGGACAGGTGGGTCCCACGGAATTTGTGTTTGACTTTTCAATCATTTGGCGACCCCATGGAATGTAGGGCCTGCCCATGGAATTCTCCAGGCAACAATACGGCGGTGGGTTGCCTGGGTTGCCGTTTCCTTCTCCATGTGTGACTTTTTAAAGAAACTGCTCACCTGTCTCCTGCAGCAGCTGCCCTACTTTACCTTCCCACCAGCAGCGCAGAAGGAGCCAGTTTCTCCACCTTCCCGTCAGCACTTTTCCCCCTGTATTACCGTCAGTGAGGGTAGTGGGAAGTACTGCTGCTATCCTCGTGTTCTTCTTTAAGGGAGCATCATTTTTCATTTAAGTCTGGAGACTGCACGGTGGGATGATGCAGCTTGCCGCCCTAAAACAAGAGGGGCTGCTCTGAGACATCACCTGGTGTCGGTTACCTGCGGCTCCCCTATCTCAGAGCAGGTGAGGGGCCCTAGGAACAAGGGGACATTCCTCAGGCTCCCGGAGGCTGCACATCTAAGATCCTGGCAGGGGCATAGTCAGCGTCTGCTGAGGGCTCCTCCTGGCTCTCAGAGGCTGTCTTCTCGCTGTGTCCCCCCATGGTGGGAGGGACGAGGGAGCTCCCTGCGGAGTCTTTTATGAAGACACGCACGGCGGCTCCACCCTCATAACCTGTCACCTCCCAAACGCCTCCCGGGCTCCTGACGCCATCACCCTGGGTGGGGTTCCAAGGACCCACCGTTGGTACCAAAGTTCTCCGATGTTAAAGTCCCACAGTTCCATCTCCTGCATCCATGGTTCTGTATCACCGGATTCAACCAAGCTTAGGTGGTAAATACCGTTCTCAGGCGAGGCTGGTGGAATCTGTGGATGGCGGACGTATGCAGAGGTCCCACTGCAAGAAGGCAAAGTGGCTCTCCGCAGGCGTGCGTGCTCAGGCGTGTCTGACTCTGTGACTTCACGGGCTGTAGCTCACCAGGCTCATCTGTTCATGGGATTCTCCAGGCAAGCATAGTGGAGTGGGTTGCTATTTCCTCCCCCAGGGACTCTTCCCGACCCAGGAATAGAAGCTGAATCTCCCGGGGCTACTGCATTGCAGGCGGACTCTTTACCGCTGAGTCACCAGGAGTTACCGGTTGTCTGAGGAGGCGGTACAAACAGCTCAGGAAAGAAGGGAAGTGAAAGGAAAGAGGGAAAGGGAAAGATACACCCGACTGAATGCAGAGTTCCAGAGAGCAGCAGTGAGAGAGAAGAAAGCCTTCCCAAATGAACAATGCAAACAAATAAGGAAAACAACAGAACGGGAAAGACTAGACATTTCTTCAAGAAAACTGGTGCTATCAAGGGAACACTTCATGCAAGAATGGGCATGAAAAAGCACAGAAAATGGTAAGGGCTTAAGAGAAGCACAAGAGATGAAGGAGAGTGGCAAGAATACACAGAGCTGTACAAAAAAAGATCCTATTGACCCGGATAACCACGACGGTGTGGTCACTCACCTAGAGCCGGACAGCATGGAGTGTGAAACCAAGTGGGCCTTAGGAAGCATCACTACGAGCAAAGCTAGTGGAGGTGACGGAGTTCCAGTTGAGCTGTTTCAAATCCTGAGGGACGATGCTGTCAAAGTGCTGCACTCAACATGGCAGCAAATTTGGAAAACTCAGCAGTGGCCACAGGACTGGGAAAGGCCAGTTTTCGTTCCAGTCCCAAAGAAGGACAATGCTAAAGAATGCTCAGACTACCATACAATTTTACTCATTTGACATGCCATCAAGAATTATGCTGAAAATCCTTCAAGCCAGGCTTCAGCAGTAACTGAACCGAGAACTTCCAGATGCTCAAGCTGGGTTTAGAATAGGCAGAGGAACCAGAGATCAAATTGCCCAAAATCCCTGGATTACAGAAAAAGCAAGGGAATTCCAGAAAAACATTTACCTCTATACTTCACTGACTATGCTAGAGACTTTGAATGTGTGGATCATAATAAACAGTGCAAAATTCTTCAAGAGATGGGAATACCAGACCACCTGACCTGCCTCCTGAGAAATCTGTATGCAGGTCAGGAAGCAACAGTTAGAGCTGGACACGGAACAACAGACTGGTTCCAAATCAGGAAAGGTGTACGTCAGGGCTGTATATTGTCACCCTGCTTATTTAACTTCTATGCAGAGGACACCATGCGAAATGCTGGGATGGACGAAGCACAAGCTGGAATTCAGATTGCCGGGAGAAATATCAACAACCTCAGATATATATATATATATGACCTCGCTCTAATAGCAGAAACTGTAGAGGAACTGAAGAGTCTCTTGATGAGGGTGAAAGTCGGGAGTGAAAAACTGGCGTGAAAGTCAACATTCAGCAAACTAAGATCATGACATCCGGCCCCATTACTTCATGCAAATAGCAGGGGAAAAAGTGGAAGAAGTAACAGGTTTTATTTTCTGGGCTTCCACATCGCACCGATGGGACTGCAGCCAGAAATAAATTAATTTTCTCCCAGGAAGAAAAGCTCTGACAAACCTAGACAGCCTATTAAAAAACACAGACATCACTGCCGGTAAAAGGCCAACATAGTCAAAGCTGTGGCTTCTCCAGTAGTCACATACGGGTGTGAGAGCTGGACCATAAAGGAAGTTGAGCGCCAAAGAGTTGGTGCTTTCAAACTGTGGTGTTGGGAGAAGACTCTTGAGAGTCCCCTGGACATCAAGGAGATGCAACCAGTCCATCCTGAAGAAAATCAGTCCTGAATGTTCACTGGAAGGACTGAAGCTGAAGCTCCACTACTTGGCAACCTGATTCAAAGAGCCAACTCATTGGGAAAGACCCTGATGTCGGGAAAGATCGAAGGCAGGAGGAGAAGGGGACGACACAGGATGAGATGGTTGGATGGCGTCACAGATCAATGGACATGGGTCTGAGCCAATCCTGGGAGACAGTGAGCGTGCACAAGTCCATGGGTTGGCAAAGAGATGGACACGAGTTACTGACTCAGTCTCCCCTCTCTCAGAACCAGGGTCCCTGCAGGGGCACCAGCAGCTACCTACTACCTCGAGGTCAGAAAAGAACCACTTTCTTTCCAGTTTTTTCAAGATGGCACTGTAGCTTTAAAACAAAAATTGCTTCTGTGAACTCGCTAAACGGTGTCTCCGACAGCAAAGAATCTCCCAGCCAATGCAGGAGACCAGGGCTTAATTTTTGGGTTGGGAAGGTCCCCTGGAGGAGAAACTGGCAATCCACTCCAGTATTCTTGCCTACAGAATCCCACGGACAGAGGAGCCTGGCAGGCTACGGTCCACAGGGTTGCAAAGAGTCGGACACTGACTGAGTGATTAACACTTTCACTTGCAAACAAATCAAATGCCTCTCAGGACCCATGTTCTCCTCTAGGGAGTTATTTTAGCACAGTAACAGCATGTGAAATGAACAAATGACCAAGTGATCTCAAACATGCTAGATTGTGCTCAACTGGTGACACAGCCTAAAGAACTTGAAAACAAAAAAACCCCACATAGGGAGACATGAGTTCATTGGAAAAAAGATTTTATTTTACCATAAAAATGCAAACTGGAATAAACACCCTCTCTCCTAAGGTGGACGTTACAGCTATTTTTAAGTCTTTCTGACTTCCCTTGGAGAAGCCAACAATTATAAAATTTAACAAGTTTGCAGCCTTAAATCTGAAACGTTCCAAGTAAAAATAACTTAGCAAAACGGCTTCTTAAAAAAACCACACAGGCTAGCCTTGACTAGAAACGAAAGCTAATTTTAAACCAACCTGCTTTTTTGTTTGTTTTATGCTGATTTGTAAAAAGTGAATGTTTGGATCCCTGTGTACCACTTGACACTTTTTCTCTTGGATGTTGGATGACTTGAACTCGCAGAAAGTGTGTCTGGGACCCTTCTGTATCCCTTCTGCACCAGCCCACGCCCGTAAAGAATTTCCGTGTTTCTGAGCACGCAGCTTCCTCTCCGGTAACTTAAACGCGGTACTAGACACTTGCCTTTGGCATCCCACCCAAACTTCATTCCCGATACATTAACCCTACAGAAAAGGGGGGAAAAACGAAACAAAAAGACAGAAAAAAATAAAAAAACAAACCAAAGACCTCCAGCGAGAGGCTTCGTGTTCGTAATGCCCGGTGGGGCCGCAGCTGCCAGACTGGAACCCGCAATGTCCCGTCACCGCGGCCCGGCTCCGCTCCCGTGAGGTCAGGACACGGTGTCTCCTTGCGGGTGGCCCGACGCCGCGCCGCGGGTCTGGGTGCGCCCGGCTGGCTCTCCGATGCTCAAGGCTCGCAGCCCCCTGCGCTTCTCCTGATCCAGGAGGACCAGCGACATTAAAGCGACTGGATCAAGTTTGAGGAGAATCCAAAGCTTGTGATCACGAGGTAAACGCAGTAGGGCCGCGTGGCCTGGATCAAAGTTTGGACGAAAAGCCGGGGCCGTGCGCTCCTCGCCGGGACGCTCCCTGGAGGCACGGGAAAGCCTGGAGCTGTGCGATCCTCCCCAGGACGCTCCGGGCGCAGGCGGCACGGCCGGTCTCTGGGAAGGCGGCCCCGGCGCGCGCGGCCTGCATTACCTATTCCAGGCGCTGCGGTGGCGGCTGGTGGAGCCCGAGCGCGGCCTGTCGTCGCCCCGCCGGTGGCGGCTGCGCTTCCGGCTGGAGCTGGCCCTGCGGTCCCGCTCGCGGCCACGGCTCTGGCTCTTCTCCCGCCGGCCCCGCCGCTCCCGGCTGCGGCTGCGGGACTTGCGGGAGCGGCCTCGCTCCTCGGGGCTAGCGCTGCGGCCTTGGTGCGAGCGCTTGCGGTGCGCCCGCCGCTCCCTGCGCGGCCTGCCGTCCTCGCGGCTGCCCGCCCGCCGCCGCGTCGCGCTGCGCTCACGCTTGTGCCTGTGCTCACTGTCGCCGCCGTCGTCCCGGCCCGCCCCGCCGCCGGCCCGGCCCTCGCCCCCGCTGGGCTCCCGGTTGCACTTGTCTTGCTCAGAGCGCACGTCCTTCCGGGGCACGCTTGGCTCGCAGGCGGCGGGCGCAGCCTTGGGCTGCTGGGTGTTGTCCGGGATGCAGGCCAGCACGGCGGGGCACCTCTTCTCCGACGGGCCGTCGTCAGGGCCTCGAGGGTCCTGCCCCTCCTTGCCCGGGGCCGCCTCCTCCTGGGCAGCGGCGGGGGCGGCGGCGGCAATGCTCCCGTTCAGGTTCTGGGGGGCGGCCGGCTGCGGCGCGGGCTCCCGGTCGCGGGACGCGGCGCCGGCCGAGGCCGACACAGTGTGCAGGATGTCCAGCACTGGCCGCAGCAGGTCGGCGGGGGAGGCGGTGCCCGGCTCGGCGGCGGCGGCGCCGGCGCGCGGCTCGTCCGCCTTCTTGCTGAGTAGCAGGCTGAGCAGGCGCGCACGCAGTTCGCGCTCCCGACGCTGCAGGCCCAGCGCGCGCTCCTTCTCCTCCTCCACGCGCCGCAGCTCGGCCTCCTGCAGCCGCCGCCGCTCCTCCAGCTGCTGCAGCCGCAGGCTCTCCTCTCTGTGCTCCTGCTCGTGTAGCTTCGCGGCCTGCGGGACAGAGGGGGTCGGCGGCGCCTGAGCCAGGCTCTGAGCGCAGGCGGGCGCTCCGAGGACGGCCCAGCTGGAGCACGGACCGCCAGATCCGACCACACCGGGGGTCCTGCGACCGTCAACCAGGATCAAGTCCCTGGGCAGGGCGCCTATTGGGGGCCAGGCCCCTCTGGGTGGCACGCTTGAAGGCCACGAACGTCAGCCGGGATACCTGGCAAAGCTCCTCGGCACCACCCTGGGGAGGGGCACCTATCGGGGACCAGGCCCCTCCGGGTGGCACACTTGGAGGCAACGATCGTCAGCCAGGAGCACGTCCGGCGAAGCTCCTCTGCACAACCGGGGTGGGGGACGGGGGGACGCCTCTCAGGCAGCCCGGGCCCCTCCAAGTGGGACGCTCGGAGACCACGATCGTCAGCCAGGAGCAAGCCCAGCAAACCTCCTCGGCACAGCCCTGGGTGGGGGGCGCCTCGAGGGCGGCCCGGGCCCGCCGGTGCACACTCCCTGCCACGTGGGCCCCAGATTATGGCGCGGGCAGCTGACGTCCCGCGTAGGTGTGGGAGGCCCGGAGGTCCGGCCTGATCAAGGTCTTCAGTATTCACCACGCAACAAGAACACACGGCCACAGGTCTTGGCACGCACCCCGCTCTCCTTCCCGCAGACTGGTCACAACTGTAACCAGACATCAGGTGAGGGTCGCCCCGCGCCTGCCTGACCTGCGGGGCGCGCGGTCTGCCTGGGTTCCACGCGCGCTACCCGCATTGAGCGGCAGGGACCCGCCCGCTTCGCGGCGGTGGGGGCGGGCGCACGGCCAGGCTCCGAGGACCGCGCCTCGTCTGGGCTCCGCCCCGTCCTCCCGAGCTGTCAGGGACGCCTGGCCTGGGGGATACTGGCGCCGTGGCCACAGCGCGGGGAGAATCGCGGAGCCGGGCGGGGGTCGCTACATCCCTGGAGGAGCCCGGCCACTCTGAGGCTGTGGGGCCAGCCGTCAAGACGGTCCCCAGCCGTCCGGGCACGGGGACCCGGACCCACAGCGCTGCCGCTTCCTCAAGGCACAGCCCGGGCCCGGGGCGACATGGGGCGCTGCAACCACGGTCCCCGCGACGAAAGCCATCCCGGGGCTTGAGCCAGGCGCCAGCGAGAAGCGTCCCTCGGGACGGGGCGTCCCAAGGGCTGAGCCTCCCTGAGTACCTGGGCATCCACAAGGGTAGGGCATCTCTTATGGGTTGGCAGGGCATCCACAAGGGTAGAGCATCCCTATAGGCTGGCAGCCCCTGTGGGCGGGGCTTCCCCGTGGGTGGGGTGTCCCTATAGGCTGGCAGCCCCTGAGGGCGGGGATTCCCCATACCTGTGGACGGGGCTTCCCAATGGGTGGGACACCCCTACAGGCTGGCAGTCCCTGTGGGCGGGGCTTCCCCATGGGTGAGACACCCCTACAGGCTGGCAGTCCCTGTGGGCGGGGCTTCCCCATGGGTGGGACACCCCTACAAGCTGGCAGTCCCTGTGGGCGGGGCTTCCCCGTGGGTGGGGCGTCCCTATAGGCTGGCAGCCCCTGAGGGCGGGGACTCCCCATACCTGTGGGCGGGGCTTCCCCATGGGTGGGACACCCCTACAGGCTGGCAGTCCCCGTGGGCGGGTCATTTCCCGCGGGGGGGGGCACCCCTATAGGCTGGCAGTCCCTGTGGGCGGGTCATTTCCCGCGGGTGGGGCACCCCTATAGGCTGGCAGCCCCCCGTGGGCGGGGCTTCCCGAGGGCGGGGCTTCCCGTACCTTGGCGCGGCTCAGCAGCTCGGCCACGAGCCGGATGGACTGCAGGTTGCGCTGTGCCAGCAGCAGCTTGCGCTCCTCCAGCCGGATCCTCTCCTGCAGCTTGCGCTGCTCCTCCGCCTGCAGCTTCTCCAGCTTCTTCTGGCTGCGCCGCAGCTCGCGGTCCCGCTGCTTCTGCTCGCGCCGCCGCAACTTCTCCTCGCGCTTCCGCTCGCGCTCCTGCTCCTCCAGCTCCTTCTGCTTCCTGCGAGGGGGCGGGACACGCGGGCTCTGTGAGAGCGGTGGGGCCCGGGCTGGCGATCGCAGGGCCGCGCGGGAGGCGGGTCCGGGTCTGCGAGCGCGGCGCTGGCGGGCGAGAGACGCGGGCTCCATGAGGGCCAAGGGGCCGTCTAGGAAGGTGGCCTGGGCCGGCGATCGCGGCGCTCGGCTCCTTAGCGCTCTGTCTGCACAGACATGTCAGCCACGGCCGAGGACCCTAGGAGCGACGGGCACGGAGGGCGAGGCTTCTTCACCCCGTGTATCCAGGGACAGCCTGGCTAAACTCGACCCCAGCCCAGGCACCTGAACACACGCACGGACAGGCGGACGCCTGTGAAGCAGAGTTTTTCAGCAGATCACCTGCTCCTGCAGCGACCACAGCAGACGAACCGGGAGCGGTGCAGGGAGGAGCCCTTTCAACACTGGCACCACACTGGCACAGCCAGGACGTTGGACAAGGCCTGCTCCCACTGCACAAGAGACCCCCACCCTGGGCTTTCCCACTCTGAGCCCCCAGCCCCAGAGCTGGAGGGGAGCAGGAACGCACCCAGTGGCAGGAAGGTTCCAGAAGCACCCAGCAACCGGACGCCCCGGAGAGCACGCACTGCACGAGCTTTCATGAGGACCTGAAGAAAAGGCACACGCTCAGTGACACACAGCCAAACGGGCTTGCACAGCACACACCGCCTGCGGAAACCCTGTGAGGTCACCATGGAGACACCACCTGCGGACGGTGCTGGTTCCGCGCCATGCTGGCCAGTTCAGACCCAACAGCACCCTTTCCACACACAGTAACGAGGACCCCAGCACCACTGGGAGGGATCCAGACCTCCAGGGGCAGGAAGACCGATGAGAGTGTCCTCACGGACCACTCGCACCCCCTCAGACTTAACCTTCAGGTCAGCAGCAGGGCGGGCAGAGCGGAGAGGCAAGGCCGCCCTGGACAGCACATGGCACGGGAACACCAAGGCCAGGAAGGAGACTTGGCAGAAGAACAAGGTCAGCAGAGAAACAGCACGGACAAGGAGGCCGGAGGACCCAAACTCCAGTCGTGGAGGTCAGGCCACGCAGGGAAGCGAGGCAGCTCGCGAGGACGCTGGCGTCCAGGAGGCCACACACCGGAAGGTTTCCCGCACCAGGGATTGGTGAGGAGCTGCTGCCCAGGGGCCCTGAGCGCCCAGGGCCCTCACCTGTCCAGCTAAGGGCCCATGACCAGGAACATAAATGTCGCAGGCCACGCTGTACCTCATTAGCAGCAAAGGACCCAAACTCACTGGCCCCTGACGAGGGACAGCCGCCCAGGCCCCCAGGCTAACAGTGAGGCCAACTGGGCTTGGACACACAGCCCTGCACACCCGTGGGCCTCCCGGGCGCCCGAAGGCCATTTCATCCCAGGCAAGCCCTGCCCAACCTCCTTGGCCATACTGGAGGTACCCCCCCCCCAACAGCTATGAGCTGGAGTCCCCACCAGGACACCCCTTGCTGCCTGAACTCAAAGGCACCCTCAGGGCGGTTTTCCCGACATTAATGTGAAGGTGGAGGGAAGCACGTGTCCCGAGACATTAGAGAGGCCGTAGAGGAACCTCTGTGAGCTGGGGGAACCTCTGTGACGCCCAGCTCACGGGCGGCGGACGTGGTTGATCGTGGGAGAGAGAGGACGAGGCCTGCCTGGGACCAGGACCTGTGGCCCGCATGCCACCAGCACTCCCTGGTTCTGCCTGCACTGGGCACGCCGACCCCCGGGCCTCATCCAGTGTGAGGTCCCAACGGCTCCCCTCACGCGGGCCGCCACCAGGACGCGGCCGGGACACCCCGCCCTCTCCGGGCGTCTCCCCCCTGCAGCCACGGCCTCGCTCCAGGGCTCCTGAACCCCGACCCCCATGCACACCCTCACCGGCTGCTTGCACGGAGGCCAGCATCATCGCTGGCACCTGCCGCCCTGGAACTGGGTTCAGGGGGCAGAGAGGGGAAGCACCGACCCCAGAGACAGGCCCGAATCTGCGTTAGTGATCATCGGAACCAAACGGGAAACACACAGGGCCCCGAGGCCAGAGCGACACCAAGTCAGGTCAGCCCAGACACACACACAGGCAGGGAGGAATGAACCCCGGACCACGCTCACCTGAGACTCAACGCTCTGTGGACACACGAGAGAAACCTTGCCCATCGCCCACCCAGACAAGTGCGGGGAAGAAACTCCCAGGTACAGGAGTCACAATGGAGCACCAAGAACTGCTCACTTTCCAAAACCCAGCTCACCACGCTGGTCAGCTCGCCTGGATAGCTCACAACGCGCTGTGCTGAATCCCTTCAGTCCTGTGCTGAATCCCTTCAGTCCTGTCCCACTCTTTGGGGCATCGCAGACTGCAGCTCACCAGGGCCCCCTGTCCATGGGATTCTCCAGGTAAAAATACTAGAGTGGACTGCCTTTCCCATTTCCAGGGGGTCTTCCCAACCTAGAGATCAAACCTGAATTCTCTTATCTCTACTGCACTGGCAGGCAAGCAGGTTCTTTACCACTAGTGCCAGAACATAAAAGCGGAAACAGACGTCAGTGACTCAAGATGCCTGAATCTCAGTTACTTTACAGGGCTCCTAAACGTCTCTTATCAGGAAAAGCCTGCAATGCCCTCACATCCCTACTTCACTTTAAAGCAGCTTCAGCCTGAACGCAAAAAACCTGCAACATGGACAAAAATTCCATGTCCGTGTCAGCAGGGTCGTGCACGGTGCCCAGGGAGGCTCGGCGGGAAGGCCAGGTGCCTGGCAGCGCAGGCGCAGGTCCGAAGCGGGCGATGCCCTGGGGGCGGGCCGCAGAGTCCGAGGGCACACGCGCACCGTGGCCAGCGGAGCCCAGCACGCACCTCTCCTCCGCCCTCTGCCGCTCCTCCGCCTCCTTCTCTCGCCGCTTCTGCTCCTCCCGCTGCTGCTCCAGCTCCTGAAGCTTCTGCCTCTCGAGCTGCCGCTTCTTGATGGAGGCGTCACTCAGGTGTTTGGTGGAATCGAAAGAGACCTTCGGAGGCAGGACGGGGCAGGGTTAGAACGAGTTCGCACAGTCGTGTGCCCACCAGGCGGCCTGCCTCAGGCTCACCGCAGACAGCAGGCCCCCAAACGCCCTGGACCGGAGGGACCTTGGGGCTGGGGCTGGGGGAGGCTCGAAATGAGCGCTCAGGACCCCACCCCTTCCAGGAGGGCCCCTTCTGCTGGAAACACGAGCGCGCCCAGAGGCCAGTCCTGCCTGCCCCGGTGCCCGTCAGAGCATGGCCCCTTCCCCTTCCTGCAGTGGGGCGCCCTCCACTCCATGGCCAGCTGCCTTCACCACCCAGTGCCCGGGCCCAGCTCGCAGCCCCAAGGGGCCCACTCCTCCACCAGGGCGGCATGGGAAGCCAGCACGAACCAGAGTCCGCGGCCATGATGCTGCAAACCGCCGTCTCATTTCAAGGCAGGCTGGGGGTCGCCTGGCCGGGGCTGCGAGAGTGCCCCCTTCTCCCCACGTTTCCTGAGACACAGACGCTGCGCCCGCAGCGTGGGGGCCCCAGGCGGCCCTCCCCGTGTCCGAGGCCCTTCGGGGCGCAGCCCGCCGCCCCCTGCTCCGGACACCCCCGCACCTTGATGTTGCAGGCCACGGCCTTGCCGTCCTCGCCCTTGAACATGAGCTTCATGCCGCGCAGCGCGCTCATGGCCTGGATGAAGCCCGCGTACTCGCGGTACTGCACGTAGGCCTCGAAGTTGAGGTGGCCGCCGAAGCTGAAGGTGTGGAAGTTGCGGCCCGTCATCTCCTCGCGGTAGGGGTCCAGCATGGGGATGTCCACGTTGCGGATCTCGCCGAAGCGCTCGAACACGCGCACCAGCACCTCCTCGCTCGGCTTCTCCGAGCCCGACTCCCTCAGCGAGAACCACTTGCAGGGCAGCCCCTCCAGGTGGATGGTGTCCGGCCGCTCGCCCGGCAGCGTCTCGTTCATGTCCTTGGCGTCGCGGAAGAAGGAGTCCCAGTCGTGGCGCGTGGGGAAGTCGACCTTGAACTCGGCGGCACGCACCTTAAGGATGTCAGAGAAGCCGCTCAGCTTGATGGTCTTGCCGTCCAGGCAGGCCAGAAAGGACTTGACCAGACTCTTGTTCTCCACCTCGCCCTCGAAGCGGATGAAGTCCATGGTGCTCTTGGAGATGCGCAGCGTGGAGAACTGGTGGTGCTGCACCATGCCCTTCAGCCGCTCCATCACCTCCCAGTTGGAGATGGACTTGCCTGGCTGCTTCAGCTGCGGCAGCGCCACGCTGATGGTCATCTTCGTGATGGGCTTCAGGTACAGGCCGTAGGGCGGGCACAGCTCCACCGCCTCAGACGTGTCGTGCACGATGGTGGCCGCGGCCATAGCCGGGACCTTGGGCCTGAAACACAAGATGCGCACGCTGCGTCTTCACGGCCGGCCGGGTGTCCTGCCCCCAGGCCTGCCAGCGCGCAGCCTGGGGCAGGGAGGCCCGTCAGCCCTCTGCGTGCCCGACACTGGTCACTGCCTCAGGGAAGGCCCCTCAGGCTCAGTCGCTCAGTTGTGTCAGACTCTCTGCGGCCCTGTGGACCGTGACCCACCAGCCTCCCCTGTCTGTGCAATTCTCCGGCATTCTGCACTGGGCTGCCGTTCCCTTCTCCAGTGGGGGGGCCTTCCCGACCCAGGGATCAAAAGCTGGGCGCCCTGCATTGCAGGCAGATATGCTCTGCTGCCTCAACCACCAGGGAAGCCCCAGCCCTGGAGATGTGGGCCCTTTTAACCAGGTTACACAAATGCGGGGGAAAAAACCCCCAATACCCGGAGGCAGCTCCACCAGGGTTGGGGTGGCAGGAGCCCAGATGGGTGGGGTCCCTGCCCTTGGGGTGTGGGGGACAGGCCACCTCCACTGGAGGCTGCAGATGCCTCACTGGAGAAGGGACAGCCCCCAGAAGCACCTGGGAAGGTCTGTGCAGGAGGAAGCCCGCAGAAACAGTAAGGAACTTTCAGGCTGAGAAAGCGGCTGAGGACCGTTGACTTCAGTATCTCCACTGCGAGCAGAAGCACCTTCTCTGTGCCCAGATAAAACCATCAAAGCCACGCGGCCTCTCGGAAGCCGCGGACGGGGAGCTGACTGCACTCTCCTCCCCCTCAGCCAGCTTCTCCCTACCGGTCGGACGGGTGCCTACTTCCGCAAAGCAGGGCCAAACCTGACCCGCGGACACCAAACAGTAACGGAGGTGGCCTTGGGCTCTGTGCCCGCCTCCCAGATGGCTCTCAGAGCTTCCTACCCAGACCAGGGTTCAACCCTGGTTCGGGAAGATCCCCTGGAGGAGGGCAAGCCAACGCAGTCCAGTGTTCCTTCCTGGAGAATCCCACAGGCAGAACAGCCTGGTGGGCTACAGTCCAGGGGGTCACAAAGAGACACGACTGAGCGACTAAGCATACACACCCCCCCAGACCTGGGAGAAGCCGCAGGGACTGGGGTGGAGGGATCCCAGCTGGAGGAAGAGACACCTGCCGGAGCCTGGGGCACCAAGAGGGGGCTCAGTCGGGGCTGGGAGTGGCAACAGCCCCGCTCCCTCCACCCGCAGAAAACCTCGAAGACCTCAGAGAGGGCTTGAGTCAGAGACTCCGGAAGCCCACTGCCTACCAGGAACCCTGGAGAGTCCCATCTCGCCTGGTGGCCCAGTTGCCCCTGCACCCTGGGGACGACCCCCAGCCCCTTCGGTTGCACCCCCCCAACACACCCCAGGCAGCCGCTACACAATCCCCATCGCCTCCACCCTCCAAGTACTCACCCCACCACCCCATCTCCCGCCTTCTCTCTCTCCCCAGCCTCCCCGTGGTCCCGGTAACTTCCTCCAACCTCCAGTAACCCCTAGCTTCACCCCCCGCCCCGGTACAGCCTGCTTACCTGCGACCCTGGTGGACCCCGATTCGCCTGCACGGGCCCTGTCCACCAATCCCGCCCCCATACGCAGCTCACTGGTGACCTCACCTCCTCTGCTCAATCGGCTTTGTCCCCTCCGCCGCTCCCCCCTCAGGAGACCCCCGCTCTCAGCACCCCCGGGAGATCCCCGCAGCCCCCGGTTGTCCGTCACTCCCAAGCCCCTCAAAGGCTTTCGACCCCCGAAGCCCGCGCCCCCAAGTCCCCAGCCCACCCCCACCCCCAAGTCCGCAGACGCAGGAGACCCGCGCCCCGGCTGACCCCCGCAGCCCCCGATCCCCAGGCCCCTCGCCCCCAGGTCCGCAGGCCCACGAGATCCGCGCCCCGGCAGCCCCCGGACCCCGGTTCTCCGTCACCCGCAGGCCCCTCGAAGGCTTTCGACCCCCGAAGCCCCTGTCCCCAAGTCCGCAGGCCCACGAGGCCCCTGCCCCGGTCGCCCCGGGAGACCTCCGCAGACCCCGGCCCCCGCACTCCCGTCACCCCCAGGCCCCTCAAAGGGTTTCGACCCCCAAAGCCCGCGCCCCCAAGTCCCCAGGCTCCCTGCCCACAAGTCCGCAGGCCTACGAGACCCCCGCCGCCCCCCGCCCCCACTTCTCCGTCACCCCCAGGCCCGCAGGCCCACGAGACACCCGCCCTGCCCGCCCCGGGAGACCCCCGCAGCCCTCGGCCCCCAGCTCTTCGTCACCCCCAGGCCTCCCGTTCCCAGACCCCTCAAAGGCTCCCGACCCCCGAAGCCCGGAGGCCCACGAGACCCGCGTCCCGGCCGCCCGCCCCGCGGGGCCGCTCTCCCCGGCTCCCCGGCCCCGGCAGACCCCGGCCCCTCGACACCCCGGGATTCCCCGTGCCCGGCGGGCGGGGCCCCGTCCACGTACCAGGCCGCCGCCGCCCTGGTCCCAGCGATTCCGCGGGCCCCCGACGACGCCGGCAGGCCCGGCCTCCCCGCCCGGCGCCGCCGCCGCCGCCGCCGCCGCCGCCACCGTCCGCAGGAGGCGCCCCAGACGCGACCCGCTGCCACCGCCTCTGCCGCCGCCACCGCCCGCCCCTGTGACGCATTTCCGCTTCCGCCGCTCGGGCCCGCGGAAGCTGGCCGCGCGGCGGGTGCAGGTTTCTCCTCCTGGCCATGGCCCCGCCCCCGAGAGGCGGGACTTCCGGGGCGGCGGTGGGTGGGGCTGGCCGGCCCGGGCTTTGCGGTGCGCGTGCGCGAGCTCTCCGCGCCCTTCCCCCACCCCGCCCCGCCCCGCCCCCGCCCCCAACCCTGTTACAGGGTTTCAGGTCCAGGAAGAGGCCCCACCTGGGCCTGCGGGGTGAAGGCGCCAGACTCAGGACTCAGGCCGGCTGCTTGCGGTACACTGCTGTTATAGTTAGGCGTCGTGCATGAGATATAATATCACTTCATTATGAACTACGATAAATACGTATTTTTTATTAACTACTGATTTTATTCCTTATAAGTATGGTTGGCTTGTATGACATTGTCATGTTATGCTCTAATGTAACATACATATCATGTAACGGGGCTTCCCTCGTGGCTCCATTGATGAGGAGTCCGCCTGCAATGCAGGAGACCTCGGGTGGATTCCTGGGTGGGAAAGACCCCCTGGAGAAGGGATGGGTTACCCTCTCCCGTATTCTTGGGCTTATCTGGTGGCTTAGCTGGTAAAGAATCCGCCTGCAATGCCGGAGACCTGGGTTCAATCCCTGGGTTGGAAAGATGCCCTGGAGAAGGGCATAGATACCCACTCCAGTATTCTGGCCTGGAGAATTCCATGGACTATAGGTGTCGCAAAGAGTCAGACACAACTGAGCAACTTTCACTTCCCATAATGTAACTACACATACTTATGTAATATAGTGCTAGTGTAAATATGTAGTGTTTTAATATTGAAAACTTTTACATTTTGACATTTATTTCAGGCTTATTTTTAAGGATATCTGAAAATAACACAAATTGCATAATTATTATTTTATATTTTTGATATACATCAATGCATTTTATTATTTTAAATTGCTTAATATGTAAAATATAAACATATAATACACTTTATGTGTTATGTATGTGTGTGCTCAGTCGCTCAGTCGTGTCTGACTCTTTGCGACCCCATAGACTGTAGCCTGACAGGCCCCTCTGTCCATGGATTCACCAGGCAAGAAGACTGGAGTGGGCTGTCATGCCCTCCCCCAGGGGATCTTCCTGACGCAGGGCTGAAACCTGTGTCTCTTGTGTCTCCTGCATTGGCAGGCAGTTTCTTTACCACTATACCACCTGGGAAGCCCATGTTATATATAACCCATTTCAGAAATAATGAACTTTTGTGTAACTTTACGTGTAAATATATATCCTATGCGTAACAATACATTTGGGTCATTTTATGGTATAAATAAAATTACTTCCCTCATAACTCAGTTGGTAAAGAATCTGCCTGCAGTGCAGGAGACCTGGGTTCAATTCCTGGGTCAGAAAGATCCCCTGGAGAAGGAAATGGCAACCCACTGCTCAGTCATGTCCGGCCCTTTGCAGCCCTTTGGACTGTAGCCTCCACCAGGCTCCTCTGATCCTGAGATTTTTCAGGCAAAAATATACCCCTGGAGACCTGTTAAATTTGGAAACTGCCAATTACCAAGCAAAGCGAATTAAGACATGAGATACTCACTTCTTTGGGACCAGCAAGACTCAGAGACAATTGCAATGATCTGGGAAATATTCAAAGAAAGTCCTTTTACATTTTTCAGCAAAATATACCTCCATGGAATGTTCCCCAGAAACACAAAAACAAAGTCCCCAGTGACCTGTAACCTTAATCCTCTGTTGAGGAGTGATAAATGCCAGGAATGTAAATCTCACTCTCATTGAGCATGACGGGAAATGGGAATAGGATGCACTATCACTTCCAGGGTGATATTGCAAAGCTGAAGGAATTATACAATTGAAATTAAAGTCTATCATCTGTAGATCAAGCTAATGAAATGAGAAGTTATGCTGGGTGGGCCTGCCCTAATCAGGTGTCGGGATCCAAACTATTTGAAACAGCAGAAAGACAGCCTGGTTGCCTTCAAGGAAGCCAGTTGCCTGGTGGAAAAAGAAGCCATTTGGCAGGGATTGGCATGTGGCTTCTGAGTGGTGAAGGTATCGATGCTGTCAAGTTAATGAAATAAGAGAGTAGTCTAGGTGGGCCTGACCTAATCAGGTGTCGGGGTCAGCAAGCTTTGAAATGGCAGAAACACAGCCTGGTTGCCTTCGAGGAAGCAAAGTGGAAAGAGACCTCTTGCCAGGGATTGGCAGGTGGCTTCTGGGTGATGAGGTTCTTAATGCTCCAATACAAGAAACTGAAATTCTTCCAACAATCACCGAGCTTGGAAGAGAGACCCACATCCCGAAGGAGAGACCCCCCCCCCCAAGCCCTGGTTATTAGCTTGATCTCAGGCTTGTGAGCCCTTGAGG